AGGTATAAAATCCACCTCGAGACTTCTCTTGGATACTCACTCTTGCGGCCAGAGAATTCCAGGAAACGTAGCGACCATGAAGGGACCTTGTGAGTAAAATTTAAACGTCCTCATTTTACCTTATGCCTTGACGAATCGAACAAATAGAGAAGCCGACGCATCAACGCCTAAACCTCAAACAATGGATAACGCCGAATCTACACTCAAAACCAAACTAAAACAACTTGAGAGAGCTAAAGAAAAGGCTGATCAAGCCCTCAAGGGCGAGAAACAGTCTGCAATACAGAGACAATTGACGAATCTAAAGGAATTTGTCACTGAAGTTGACAGTGCTAGAAGGACGGTTGAAGCACTGAAGATAGAGGCAAAGTCAACGATGGAGATATTAGTGATTGGAATGATGCGATTACCGAAAAAATAGAAGAAGCGGACGGTCATATCGAAAACCTTGAAGAATGGTTGGCAAATAGAAAAATGGAAGCAGAAAAGGAAGAACGAGGAGAGAAAATGAAGTTCGAAATCAAACTTCACGAGACGAAGCTAAAATTACAGGAAGACCTTCAAATTAAGGCTGGAAACCTAAAGTCGTCCGTGGAAACCCCTGTTGGTGAAGTAAAACTACCCAAGCTCGTCATTACCAAGTTTAACGGGACTTACGCCGACTGACTGAGATTCTGGGGTCAATATTCCGAAACTATTGACAAAACTAATGTGCCGCCTGTGACCAAGTTCACGTACCTAAGAGAATTGCAGGACGCCAAAGTCAGGAAAACAGTCGAGGCCTTGCCCCATTCAGCTGAAGGATACAAAAGAGCTGTATCGATCCTAAAAGACCGATTTGGAAAGCAGAGTGAAATTGTGAAAGCCTGAGTGAAAGAAATTCTTGAGTTGCCATACACTTCGACCGGAAACCCCAAACGAATACACGAATTTCACGACAAACTATCCCACAACGTACAGTCCCTGGAAACACTAAACTCGCTCCATGAAGTAAACGGGATGGTTTCCTTAACGCTCGATAAATTGCCCATCATCAGAAAAGACTTTGTCCGAAACGATCCAGAATGGGAAACTTGGGATTTTGTCAAATTCACCAAAGCCCTTCGACAATGGACGCGCCGAAATCCGACTGACAACTTTAAATTAGAAGACTCACAGTCATTCCGGAAACGAGACCGCGTGTTCCAAACAAACCAGAGAAGGACCCGAAAATGTGTTTATTGCCAAGCGGAAGATCACAAGCTGTCAGAATGTGCAAAAATTGCCTCACCGACAGAACGCATAGAATTTCTGGGTACAAAAAGGCTCTGTTTCAATTGCACTGGTCAGCACAAATCATCGGAATGCAAAAGCACCGCGACCAGTCAACATTGTGGTAAGCGACACCATACCTCGATCTGTAGCCCACCAAAGGAAGTGAAAACCGAGGGCGTTTTGACAGCTCATCAACCAGAAAACAAAGAAGTCGTTTATCCCATCATTCTTGTAGAAATCGACGGAATAAAAACGCATGCTTTACTCGACACCGGTGCCGGAAGCTCGTACGCCTCGAACAAGCTTATCAATCTTCTCAACAAAGGCCTAAACGAATTGACATGATGCTTGGATCATCCACCACCAATGTAGAGATTTATTCAGCTACTCTTGGAGCAGTAAATGGAAGTTTCGACATGAACATTAAACTGACGAAAGTTCATAAGCCACAATTGTTGACACTAGACAACCCTAATTATGCAACTCTGCTAAGCAAATACAGCCATCTCAAAGGAGTGAAGATTGAAGACAACGATACAAGACCTCAAATTCCCATACATGTGGTCTCAGGAGCAAGCGTGTATGCCTTAGGGTTAGGGTTAGGGGTTAGAGCAAAAGAGTAGAAAAACCAGGACAACCTGTAGCTGAGAAAACTCGCCTTGGATGGACCTTTATGTCACCGGGAAGAGAGGACGTCGGAAGCCCCGTGCTGCTAACACAATAGGGACCTTTAGCAAAGAGACTTTTCAGGACGGCGACGGCGCCCGGAAGTGAAGTTTTACTTCCGTTTGAGGTCGTACATTTGGCGCAAAGTCGTCTAGGCTTGGCGCCGACCTCAAAAGGCTTGTTTTCACGGTTTAGAAAACGTGAGTAGATAGGAGGCTTTTGTCTGCCTATAATCGTTTTTTTTCTGGCCTTTTAGTTTTCACAACTTAAGGGAACACCTCGTAATTTACTTGAAAAGCTTTTGGCATAAAACTTATTTTATTTATTGCATTTTAAAAGGACAGCTGTAGACTCAGACTGACTATGGCGGCATCTGATGATCAAGTGCAAAAATCCAAGTGAGTAAAATTACTTGGCCACGGTTTTTAGCTGCTTTGATTCTTCATTCTTATCTATCCCGTTGTTTCACTGTAGGCCGATGGAGTGGAGCGAGGAACATGATGTGCTTTTTCTGAAAGAAATGCTAGCAAGGAAGCGAGGAAGAAAAGCAAGTGGGATTTCTGTGGAAGAGTTAACGGAAAAGGAATCACTGAGTTAGAGAGTTACGAGGAGTTAGTCGAGAGAGAAGATGCCATACAAGCATAGGCTGAATCAGCATCGAAACAGCAACTCAAGGACAAGAGCGGCACACATTATACTTGCTGCTGAAAGATTTACACCATCAGTCGTATTATTCAATAATCTAAACCGGCTCCCTTTTTTAAACAATATCTAATAAAGACATGTGCACTAGTGTATAAGTGGGTCCACAACTATATTATGCCTGGTTATTTAAATAATTTATTAGTTAGAAATTCAGAAATTCGGAATATATATAAATATAAATCTGATGTGCCCTAAGTATAAATGAAAATCAAGAGGAGGTTGTACTTTCACTACTAGGACTCTAAAGGACTGGAATTACATGAATACTAATTGCGGGCGACCAGCGGAGCCCGCAATCCTAATCTCAACATTGGTTACAAACGCATGCGCGGCAGTTATATAGCCTTGCAGTGACTCGAATTTAGCAAAAAAAATCGTCCTTCCAAATATTTGTCCCTAGGGAAACTAAGAACCAATGAAATGAAAGGACGTAATTTGAACATAGGCGCTTTGACCACGCGAGACAAACACGAAGCAGCAGTAATTTGAGCACAGGCGCTCTGACCGCTAGAAACCAACACCAAGCAGAAGACAATTCTCACCAAAGCATAGCTATTTCACGTTCCATAGTAAATGATCTTTAATGTAGTTGAAGGGCTCAAATAATATGTAAATTTCGCCTTCTTGAAGCTAAGAATG